TTGGGAGGCCAAGGTGGGCGGATCACCTAAGGTCAGGAGTTTGAGACCAGCCTGGCCAACATGGTGAAACCCCATCTCTACTAAAAATACAAAAAGCCAGGCGTGGTGGTGGGCACCTATAATCCCAGCTACACAGGAGACTGAGGCAGGAGAATCCCTTGAACCTGGGAGGCGGAGGTTGCAGTGAACCAAGATTGCACCATTGCACTCCAACCTGGGCAACAAGAGCGAAACGCCTTCTCAAAAAAAAAAAAAAAATAGTACTAACAAATCAGGGACAAGTTACCCAGATTTTTGTTGTCTGCTGAATTTTGGATGTTTTCAGGAAGTTTTCCTTTCTCCAAACTACATGTACTTTTCCCAGGAATAATCTAACTGGTTATTGTGGCTTTATTGGCAAAATGTTCCATTTCGAGATCTAAATCTGTTCACCTAATCTGGAGAATTTCATCTTCTGATAACTGGACAGCTATTTATTGTTAATTGCAATAAAGTGAATTGAGTAAGCATAATTATTAAATAAATGGCAAAATACCAGACTAGTCTCTGACTCATTGTATCTAAGTATACATCCAGGCTATTTTTTCTTTTTCTTTTTCTTTTTTCTTTTTTCTTTCTTTCTTTTTTTTTTTTTTTTGATATGGGGTCTTGCTCTGTCGCCCAGGCTGGAGTGCAGTGGCATGATCTTGGCTCACTGCAACCTCTGCCTCCTGGGTTCAAGCAATTCTCCTGCCTCAGCCTCCTGAGTAGCTGGGATTACAGGTGCCCATCACCACACCTGGCTACTTTTTGTATTTTTAGTTGAGACAGGGTTTCACCATGTTGGCCAGGATGGTCTCAATCACCTAACTTTGTGATCCTCCTGCCTTGGCCTCCCAAAGTTCTGGGATGACAGGCGCAAGGCACCGCGTCCACCTTTTTTTTTGTTTTTTTAAGATGGAGTTTCAATCTTGTCACCCAGGCTGGAGTATAATGGCATGTTCTCAGCTCATCGCAACCTCCATCTCCTGGGTTCAAGCAATTCTCCTGTCTCAGCCTCCCGAGTAGCTGTGATTATAGGCGCCCGCCACCTCGCCCAGCTAATTTTTGTATTTTTAGTGGAGACGGGGTTTCACCACATTGGCCAGGCTGGTCTCGAACTCCTGACCTCAGGTGATCCACCCGCCTCAGTTTCCCAAAGTGCTGGGATTATAGGCGTGAGCCACTGCGCTGGCCGGTATTGTTTATTTTAATACCTCTTTAACACCTTCTCAATTTGTCATTCACTGCTCAAAATTACTCATTTTATGTTTTAATTGTGAATCTTTTGTAGTTCTAGTGCCATATTTAAGCACATTTATTAATATATTCAGGCTGGGTGCAGTGGCTCATGCCTGTTTTCCCAGCACTTTGGGAGGCCAAGGTGGGTGGATCCCTTAAGGTCGGGAGTTTGAGACCAGCCTGGGCAACCTGGTGAAAACCTGTCTCTACTAAAAATACAAAAATTAGCTGGACATGGTGGCATGCACCTGTAATTCCAGCTACTTGGGAGACTGAGGCAGGAGAATCACTTGAATCCGGGAGGCGGAGGTTGTGGTGAGCCGAGATCACGCCATTGCATTCCAGCCTCGGCAACAAGACCAAAACTCCGTCTAAAAAAAATATATATATACACACACACACACACACACACACACACACACACACATATATAAATATATAAAATAGACTACCACTTCCAAAAGTTTTTGTCATCCCATGAGTAATAGATGAGTAGAAAACAAAAGTCCTTGGCCAGGCGCGGTGGCTCAAGCCTGTAATCCCAGCACTTTGGGAGGCTGAGACGGGCGGATCACGAGGTCAGGAGATCGAGACCATCCTGGCTAACACGGTGAAACCCCGTCTCTACTAAGAAAAAAATACAAAAAACCAGCCGGGCGAGGTGGCGGGCGCCTGTAGTCCCAGCTACTCAGGAGGCTGAGGCAGGAGAATGGCGTGAACCCGGGAGGCGGAGCTTGCAGTGAGCTGAGATCCGGCCACTGCACTCCAGCCTGAGTGACAGAGCAAGACTCCGTCTCAAAAAAAAAAAAAAAAAAGAAAACAAAAGTCCTTTATATAGAATGAAGAGTAAAAGTCTTTAACCACTACATAGCAAATCTCTCTCTATTCTAGATCTTCTTTGTTAATAGTTTTATATTTATGCTACTTGTTCATTAATTTTTCTCACATATCCCAAAGAACCTGGGTTCATAGGATATACACCACAGAGTGGGGGATAATATTTAGTTGGTTTAAGTTTATAACAATAGTTTGCATTTGTACAAAGTTCACTTTAATATATGT